CGTTCCAAATAATCTTCCATGTTTCGCGCATATGAAATAACGTCTAATGGTTCCTTAAAGAAACTACTCACAAGGTTGCTGAAAAGCATATACTGCGATATCTGGAATATCGTGTTAACTGAATCACGATGCGGCCTGTGTGTGTAGAGCATCATAAACGAGAGATTCATTGGGGTCTCCCGTGAAAACCAAATTGATTTGCATATGAGTATATTCAATGGTTCCATTTCGGCAGGCATGATGAATTGTTCCAATCGCGACGCCAAAATGCGAGAATTAGGTTCCGCACGTATATTGGTATAACCAGGCGAACTTGAAACCCAGAATTCAGGTCAGCGTAACAAGTAGCCCGTATGTATTCGAATTGTTCCACGACGCCAAAATGCGAGAATTAGGTTCCGCACGTATATTGGTATAACCAGGCGAACTTGAAACCCAGAATTCAGGTCAGCCAGCGAAGTAGCCCGTATGTATTCGAATTGGCGAATATGTGCAGCATATGGAATATTATAACAAGAGAATGATGAATAGAGCAATGAATAGAGTATCACTTACGTTCATCACGACTACGCACTGGCCCCTACAGAGACCAGCGAAGACTTCAAGCAGCCATCAACACATACATTGGGCTCCATTGGCATAAATTAAACCGAAATTTGAACCGTCTTTCGTAAGGCGAACGGTGCACAGAAGTGAGAGGATGCGGAATCCAAGATGACGTCAACTGAAATTCAGTAGGTTCCCGAAAAAGCTCGTAATTTTTCCACCACAGGAATTTTAGAGCACCGTTCTCGTGGGGATCAGCCGTGACCTGCGACAACAATTGTTGGATGTCCGCTGACACAGCAACTTGTTCTAATCGAAAGCCAATTTTAACGCCCACAAGCTTTGCTGCCAAATGAAGATCCGGATACGGGTGATCGTTCAGACACACTACAACACTTTGCAGCACCGTCAGATACGACCTAAATCTATTCTGGCTTTCTTGGTTTGATGCCCGGATGGTGTGGGTGACACCACTGTATTGCCTTTAAGGACAATTTGTGCTCACCTGCCACCGGTTCA